ATATATATATATATATATATATATAGTGAAGAACAAGAACGCAGCGTCAAGACACGGGTACACAGCAACCCAAGAACGCATGCAACAGCAGTTGAGGAGAGGGAGGTGTTGTTTGCAGGATAGAAGCAAATAAAATAAATAGACACGAGACAAACGAGCAAAAAAACGAAAAAAACGTGAAACTAAACAAAGAAACACAGAACAAGCAGCCACAAAGAAGACAAAATCAGAGATATTGGACTTCTGGGGCTTCGATGATCATCTATTGCAACTCCTCAACAAAAAAGCAAAACAAAAAAAAGCTGTATTTCTCTGTATATTCTTCTTTTGTCTGTTTTATACGAAATCATGTATAAGGCATTGAACTGAAACACTTGCACACACACACGGTCTGCCGCGGTAAAGGGAAAGAGAATTCGCGTCTATACACCATAAAAAAGTAAATTGAGTCAATATTTTGAAAATAAAACTGAAAACGTACTTTTTTTCTCTCTGCTTTCTCTCCTTTGCTGCTGGGGCCGGAGGATCAGCCACCGCGTGGAGGGCGTTCTCCTCTTCTCTCGTTTGCCTCCTTGTGGTTACCATTTTCGGAAATAGATATTTATATTTCTAAAGAAGAAAAAAGGTTTAAAGAAAGAATAAAACTCACAAATTCAAGTCCACAAGCCCCAGTACGTGGATCGGCCGAGGCAGCTGCAGTGGGCCGCCGCACAGTAGAAGGGTTTCAGTTGCAGTTGCTGGGGTCGATTAGGGGTTTAAATGGACGAATTAAGAAGAATAAACCGGCAAAATAAAGTAAAATAACAAAAGAAAAAGAATTGTTCAATAGATTTTCGAAAATACAAACCCAAATTTGAGTAATCGCTTACTATATTCTGCTTTTTCTGGTGGTGTTTCTGAATATGAATGGACATTCAACAAATTCAAGAACACGAAACCCGGCAGACATATACACCTCAACAGCACGAGCAGGGTCAGGATCCTAGCTATTCTCCGCTTATTTTGTGTATATTTGAGTGAATATTTATATAATTATTCTTTAAATTAAGTATTTTCCCGGAGATCGCAGAAAAAACTACCGAAAAACCATTTGACACGCAGCTTCCTCCTGGTGCCTCGTGTTCTTGCAGCAGAGGCGAGGAGGGGCTTGAGCGGCATTCTTCTCTTCCTTTGATTGTTTAAACTGTGAATTTAAGATATTTATATTTATATTTCCTTTTATTTGTTTGTTTTTCCTTACTTAATTTGCATTATCCAGTTGTTCACCCCCTTTCTCACTTGCTTTCTCGGTTTTGCAAGATGGCGCCGAAGGCAGCGATTCCGGGGTTGTTTTTTGTGCTTTTTCTGGGTTTTTTCTCTTTTTTTTCAGTTGCAGATGACTTAACGATCACTGGATGGCTGGAGTTCGCCGGCGGGCGGCCTACAGTGCCCGCTGGCTCGACGTATCGTGTTGAATTGCAAGACATCTCTCTCATGGATGCACCGAGCGAGGTGCTTGCTGTATATACAGATAGTGCAGAGAAGATCAACGAGGGGAGGCCCCTAAACTTTGAGTTTATTCTTTCAGAAGAAGAAAGGCTCAAGAGGAGGCAACGCCATCTCGCTGTTTCTGCCGTGCTGAATATGGGCTGGCAGAGAGAAGACGGAGGAAGCGAGTGGTTTAGACCCGGTGACTATAAAAACGAATATATTGAAACGATACGATTGCCTTCAGAGGGAAACAAAATAGAAAACTTCATCGTGCGCATGCAGAAGTAATTCCGGTGCAAACTAATTCATGCATATTTCTGCAGCAGGAGGAGCGGCACCAGCAGCAGCAGCAGCAGCAGCTGCAGCAGCAGCAACAGCAGCAGCAGCAGCAACACTTGTTTCGCGCTGCATCAAACGCTCATCTCCCGTTAGCTGCAACCGTATGCAGACAAACAGCAACTTGGTGCAGCTGCTGTAGTGCCAGCAGCAGCAACAACAGCAGTATACACAGCAGGTATTTTTGCAACGCCCGCAGCAGCAGCAATAGCAGCAGCAGCAGCAGCAGCAGCAGCAGCCGTATAAGCAGTATGCTCAGCAGCAGCAACAGCAGAAGCAGTGGCTATGCGGATTTCTCTGTCTTCGTTTTTAAAGGCAAATCCACTGCGCTTCATTGTTTACAGCAGCTGCAGCAGTAGCAGCAACAGCAGTATACGTAGCAGCAGCAGCAGCAGCAGCTACTGCTGCAACAGATGCTGGAATAGCAGCGCATGCAGCAGCAGCAGCAGCAACAGCAGCAGCAGCAGCAAACAATTTACAAAGGTAGCTCAGTGATACTCAATTCGAGTTTTTGTGTGTTTTCCTTTTTATTACGTGTAGACATTTGCAGTTTAAGTCTTGTCTTTTCTTTTTTTGTTTTTTTATTTTTTTATTTTTTATTTTTATTTTTATTTTTATTTTTATTCTTCCCTCGGGGTGCAGAATAAATAACTTTATTATCGTCTACACACTCTAAGCAGAGAGGCCTTAAACCCTAAACCCTAGACTGATAAACCCTAAACCCTAAACCCTAGATTACAAAACCCTAAACCCTAGATTACAAAAATCTAAACCCTAGGTTGCTAAACCCTAAACCCTAAACAGCCGACGACGGGGCTCGAACCCGCGACCACGAGGTTAAGAGCCTCGCGC